GAAGAAGAAGACTGATCCTTAGGCAAGTAAAAMCATTTCCATTTGATTTTGGAAGCTAGATTTGTTCTATCCTGTTCATACAGGGCTGAATGGATAATTCTAATCTTCTGTTACATTATCTTTATTATTTCCAAGACAGTATTGGAGATGTTCAAATACTGCAGCTAAAAAAAATAACAAAAGAGATGATTTCTGACACAGTACTTTCACAAAGGACAGTTCCAAAAATAGCTCTTTTTTCAAGAGACGGAGTTGTAAGCTGTTTCTTCCTTAAATGCTAACAAATAGCTGACAGAGGATATTTTCCTGTATCACAAATGGATGGCACTCCAGTACCTCATGCACAACGTCAAGTTATACCAGAGTAAAATGTTTTCCGAGTGAACTACAGGCAACCAAAAGCTACTCTGACAACAACACTTTGAAAACCAGTCTGATCTGAAATCAGGTCAGGCCTGATGCAACAAGACACAGACTTACAGGTGTCAGAAGGAAAACAGGGTCTATCAGCTTCAAAAAGGAAAAGAATGAGATAGGAATATGCTCTATCACATCCCCTATATCTATGTGCTAGAAACAAGCAGTGCATTTCCTGCACATCTTTGCACATCCTTCAGTCTAAAGCACRCAGACCTGGAACTACTAAGAATGGAACAAAGACATGGAAGAGGGAAAGACTTATGAAATCTCTGCCAATTCTTGCAAGGGGAGCTTTCCTCTCTCGTTAGTTGCAGACTTCTCTCAGTTCCTCCTAAAGCACGAGTATTTGGTAAATTCATGAAAAAAAAAAATACACTTCTCACTTTACAATTTTTTTGACAGATTCCAAAATTCTTTCCTCAAAAGACCAGTAAGGAGAAAAGGATTAAGTAAAGCTAAGCTCAAGGCAGAACGCCTGAATTTTTACACCCTTTCCTTGTTTGGGACATGCCAATGAAAACTCATCCAGACTACTAAGATAAATAAATAAATAAMTAAATAAATAAATAAAGTAAAATACAATACAACACGTGATGTCTGAAAGACATTTTATTTTCAATTATGACATTAACAGGATTATGCTAAAACACAAATTAGTCTTTAATTGGTTTATAGAGAAATATGACGATGCTAGGAATTTGCCTAGGCAAAGAGAACAGTGTATATTCTATGAATAAGTACTGTAACCATGTGCTTGTTATTTGGAAGTAAAARCAAACAACATTACCATAATAAAAGTTTATATTTCTTAATGAAAATGTTATCTCCTCCTAGCTTTTACAGAGCAGTTACTGTACATCATATGTCCAGTAATCCCTGAGCTTTAGCCAGATTATTTACTTAAACAGCTTTGTCATTTTTAGGCAATCTGTGTTTGTGTGTGGACTCATCAAAAGAATCCTTTAGCTCAGTTAATTATATTTTACAGATGACAAWTTTTTTTAAGATCTACCAGGAAGAAATAACAGAAGAAATCATTTTATAGATTCTGAAGACACGAGAACCTAGCCTCACAGTTCTACAAATCACTGCCACTGGAAGCTAAAGGATTAGACTGATGTATATTTCCCGAGCTACATCTGTCATAACAAGTCTAAAAAAGCAACCAGCCCACTGAGCAAAAACTGGCACTTTGGGAAATGGCTTAAATAGCACTGAGCTCGAAACCATCACTTTTATGCTTTTTTTTTTCATAAATTTGAATAGACTCAAATCAAGAGCATATTCCTTGTCACCTTCACATCTGACTTAAAGATTAAAGAAAGGTACCCAGAACACACTGGCATTTTGGACACCGCTCCAACGAGCAGAGGCAAGCGAGTGCACAGCCAGCAGCAGCCCTGACTGCAGGAGGGGAAGAACCAAGCGCACAGAGACCACTCCAACTGGGGGAGGCTCATTCTTTCAGCCCAAAATTGCTTGCTTAAGTCTTCTGACTGCAATCTTATCTGCATTTTGCAAAGCGGAAGTCTGCCTAATACTCCTGATGCAAATACAGCTACTCACTCAAGACACTACACTACCCATGCCTGAAGGCATGGCTTCAGAGACCTTCAAAAATAATAATGTAACAGTGCATTGATATGGGAWTTTTTTTCAGCATTTTTCAAAGTCTGAAAAAACACATGGGACCCCCACAAATTCGCTAGTGGAAGAACATCAAAGTAAAGACATAACTGGTGTCAGCTGASCCAGTTCATCACTTAACTTCTGGCMYAGGCGCATTTCAGGCCCTCAGCCCTGCGGCACGGACTGGCTCTGCCATGGAGCTCCAGTGCAACACAGCAGCTCTGGATGGCAGAGGCRGTAACAGCTGCGCACCAGCGAGACACCCATCCCTGACCACAGGCTCACCAAAACGGATCCAGCTGCTSATGCTTCCCTTTCTCAGCTTGTGAGTAGCAGGCATGCGGGAAAAGAAATCTCACTGGGAAAATCCATTTATTCTCTCATTTTAAAGCAACTTCACTRAAGTTGAATGCAACGGTGCCCTTCTACCAAGGAAACTCATGTCATCTTAGAACTGAGTATGGCTAATATATATCCCATAGAAAACAGCTCCAAAAATCTTCAGAAAATAGCTGGAGAAAATAGCTATCTTGAACTCCAAGATTAGCCAGTGCTCCATCTCAAAACTCTAGCAAAAAAAAAAAAAAAAAGAAACAAACCCAAAACATTAACCCCATCTGCCAAGCTAGAAGAAAGCAAAACAAACAAAAAACGGCACTGCACAAAACACTGCAGCTGGTTGGAAACTTTAGACTAATATAATACCATGAAAAAAGAAGAAGAGGAAAAATGAGGGGGAAAAGTATTAGGTATTCACAGCATTTAATAAACCATTTTTCTCTGACAATAAAGATTTTTAAAAAGCTGCACATTTTCTTTCATCTATTTTCTATGGAGAAAATCTATTTTCTCTATAGGCCTACATTGGTACCTTCATACTAACAGGGCTGTATTACACAAATCATCTTTATATTTCATTTATAGAAAACATAAAGATTACACAGAGGATATTCAAAATTTCATAGTCAAAATAAGACAACAGAAATAAAAGAACAGACTCAAATTCATACTGTGAAATCTTGGGCATGGAGTTATACTCCTGTTAAAAGCATACAAAAGCTTTGATTAAGAAAGTATTACCTTTACTACTTCTGTCACTGAAAAGAATCAGGCAAAGTCAACTTCCATATCATGCGTAACTGCGCTAGACACCTGCTGTAAACATTAAGTTCAAGAGGACTGCCCAAGGAGAATCAGAACAGGATTCTGTCTAAAGCCTGAAAAATGTTGCCTGTATTTAATAATGCTTAGTTGAATCCCATGCTGTTGAATCACTAGACTGAGATTCCCAGGGGCTGAAGCCTTCTACTTATCCAAAAAAAGAAAAAAAAAAAAGAAAAAAAAAAACACCCTGCAGTGCGCTAACCAACCAATGCACCTCATTTTCCTGAGAGACTGGTGACTGGGAGAGTTAAATATTCGTCAAATTCCATCATTAGCTGCTTGCTTGGGCTAAATATAAGGCTGACAACTCAAAATGTGTTGGTGATGTCTCTGATGTAGGAATCCAGCACCCTGGAAATGAATGGAAACTACCAATCCATTTTGCTGACATTCATTAGGAAAAGGGATGATGATTTTTAGGCAGACTGTACAGACTGTATCTTCATTTTTATAACTTCCTGAGCCAAACAAAACAAATCTAATTAAAAACAAAACAAACAAGACACAAAGGATGGAAAACCACACAAAAAAGAGAAAGCTTTTGAGGGCTAATATAAAATAAGATGTTAAAATAAATATTTCCTATTTATYTTAACCTATTTTATTTAACCAAACTGACTATACATATAGTCTTGTATATGACTATACAAGTCATATACAGACTTGTATATGAAAGACTATACAACATATTTTGATAAAGTATATAGTTCAATTCCTGGAAAAACACTTCAAATCTAGTCTAATTACCTCAACACAGCACAATGCCTTAAACACTGAGTCTGACCATGAGGTATTTTGCTGGGTACCATCTGAACCTCATGGAACCACAGTGCACAAGAGAATTGTGCCTGGGATTATCACAGTTTCAACTTGATGAAGCTCTCTATTCTCATACTTTTTGTCATTTCCTGAAGAGTAATTAATCTGTGGAATCATTCATTAGTATCTTAAGATATCTCTTCTTAAAGACTTTATTTTTTAATTATTTAATCTGGTAATGCTGGTAGTTGATCAACAGAAAACTCTTTATAAGTAACCTCTTTATATGCAAYCTAGTATGTCTATATATAATCCATCCTAATGTTTAAAACACTCCCTTCTTGTACCCTTTTAGTTTTTCCACCCAATATGGTCAGGGATTATTAAATGCTGCTAATCATAGAATGACCTTGTTATTTGACATTATAAATAATATACTCATTAACTTGAATGGCAAATGTTTCATTGCTTTCCCTTCATATATTTTTTTCCTAAAAACCAAAAAAAAAAAAAAGAAAGAAATCTTATTTCAGAAGCATCTATTTTAACCTGATTAATGGAAGATCCTATTAAATTACAGACAGAGATGGTTAGTTTGCACACACATCAGTAACTGTGACATATGCAGATGACTAAATCAAACAGAATTGCTCTTTATTCCTTTCATTTAAATCAGGTCACTTTCAATAAATAAATAAATAAATAAAGCAACAGAGGGTTTTAGTCTAATTAGCATGAGGGGAAAGATTAGCTCGCAGCTCTAAACAACGAGGTTTCCCCCAAGCAGCCCATCCAACGGCAACCGATGCACATTTCAAGAAATGAAAAGCTATTTTCACCGAACGGAGCGGATCCGAGCATGCAGTTTCGAGAGAGGCAGTTACATAAATCGATGCTAAAAATAAACTCGAGGCGCGCGGCGCGGGCCGGGGCCCGCAGCGGGGCCCGCAGCGCCCGGGCACGGCGCGACCCCCCAACCCCGCCGCCCGCGCCCGCTCCGGCCGGGCCCAACAAGTGGCCCCGCTTACCACGAGCACGGGCACACCCGCGGTGAGCGAGTAGAGCAGCACGGGCGGCACGGCGCTGCGCTCCTCCGGGCCCGGGTAGGGCTTGCGGTAGGCGCCCTCGTAGCAGAAGAAGCCCTGCACGTTGACCGCGAAGGTGTCTGTGTACTCGAAGTAGTAGGCGAGCATCACGGTGCCTGCCATGATGACGAGCTGGAAGTAAAGCATGCTGCTCAGCGGCGCGGCCACTCGCATGTGCGCGCGCGAGGCGGCCGGGGCAGCCCCCTGCGCGGCGGCGGCG